TTTTAAAAAAAAAAAAAAAAAAAAAAAAAAAAAAAAAAAAAAAAAAAAAAAATGTTCAACATCATTAGCCATAAGGGAAACGCATACCCAAATCACAATGAAAGACAAATTCATATCCACGAGGATGGCCACAATCAAAAACATAAATAATAGCAAGTATTGATGAGGAGGTAGAGAAATCAGACCCTCATGCACCGCTGGTAGGAATGCAAAATGGCACAGTCACTTTAGAAAACAGCCTGGCAGTTCCTCAAATGGTTAAATATAGAGTGATCACCTGACCCAGCAATTCCACTCCTAGATACATACTCAAGAAAACTGAATACATATGTCCACACAAAAACTTATAAATGAATAGCCAGAAAGTGGAAACAACCCAAATGTCCATCAATGAATGAATGGATAACCAAAATGTGGTTGACCCATACAACTGAATATCATCCAGCCATAAAAAGGAATGAAGTTCTTTTTTTTTTTTTTTTAATTTTTATTTATTTATTTATTTTTTCCTTTTTGTCGTGTCTGGCAACGGATCGCAACCCTCGGTGCTGCGCCCGCACCTCGCTCAGCCAGTGAGCGGGAACCGGTCTGTATGTGGGATCCGAACCCTCGGCGGGAGCGCGCCACCGCGCTCCCAAGCGGGGCACTGTAGCAGTTCGCCACCGCCGGCCCATAAAAAGGAATGAAGTTCTGATGCATGCTACAACATGGATAAACCTTGGAGACATCATGCTAAGTGAAAGAAACCAGACACGAAAGGTCCCATATTGCAAGATTCCAATTATGGGAAATGCCCAGATTAGGAAAACATGTAGAGACAGAAAATAGATTAGCAGCTGCCAAGAGTTGGGGGTAGGGGGAAATAAAGAGTGATTCCTAATGGGTCCAGGGTTTCATTTTAGGGGCAATGAAAATCGACAGGACACCCTCCCCTCTCATGTGCTGGAGGTGCCCAAACTCTGAAAGTTGAACACCGAATTCACTCTCTCCCCGCCCCCCTGCCTCTCCTCCCGGAACCGGGAGGCCCAGTCACATTGCCCGTGGCCCGAGGCTTCCTCAAGCTATGAAGGCGAGTGTCACCCTGGCATTCTCTCTCTCCCGCCCCTGACCCCATTCATTGCCACGCCCCCCGCTGCACCCCTCTAATGCCTGCAGAGCCGTTTAATTTCCGCGCCCTACTGAAGCTATAGTAACGTCCTACTGCTGAGCACGGACAGCGCACAGCAGCCGGACCGCCTCGGTGGTCCTGGCAGACCTAGGGCCATCAGCGCCCCTTCCCAGGTGCGGGGTCTGCAGCTCTCAGTGAAGTAAACGTCCGCGCAGGCCACAGCGCTGCATCCGGCACGGCGGCTCCGCACCCGAATCCTAACCAGCCGCTGGGGGACGGCCCCGCCGCCCGCGGTCACCGCCCGGGCCCGGACCCGGACCCCACACCGCAGGTCCCGAGCGGGGGCCTCGCCCGCGGCCTCGCCGCGCCGGCACCTGGAAGGGCTCCCGGCGCCGGAGGGGGCTTCGACGGCACTGTCCCGGTCACGCCGCCTCCAGTCGCCTCCTCTCCGAGATGCAGACGTGACTAAACTACAGGTCTACTCCGAGTCCCTTCGGCGAGCGGC